TTGAAGATGACATCGATTGATATCGATAAAGATGACAAGGTATCGAAGATACAAGGAAAGTCTGCAAACTTGATTCTCTGTTTTTTCAGTTTCAACTTTATAACACGTTTACTATCTCAAACTAAAAGCTCAAACAAATGTTACATCTGATTTAAAAGGAGGCAGGTTTTCCCATGGTCTGGGACCAACCTTTGTTGATACTTTGATATTGCTAGTGTAATTGTTGGTACCTTGTGTTTGTTTTCCCCACTAGGTTTGATTTCTGATTGGTTGCTCAAAACTCACATAGCAGCTGGATCATTGGGTCTTAAAATCTTTCATCATATCAAAACAATTAAATAAAATGTTCACTTGGTTTTAGATTCTAGTGAAAAAGAGCTACTTTCCCACTGTATTCCATAAGATCAATATAATAATGACACCATGAGGCATCTTCAGGTACTTGGAGCATAACTAACGCATGCAAGCGAACCTAAGCGAGGTATACGTAGGGTCATTGATACTCAATCCTTGTGTTAAAGGACGATGTGGACCATGTGGTGGTCGACATGACGAAGAACAAAAACATCAAAACAAAAGTAAATAAAATGTTTCCAAACAAAAACCTAAAAAAATAAGAAAAACACACAAGCTATTAAAGATACATTAAGTTCTCGATATCATCCAAACCAATAACGTCCCACAATTTGGTGAGATAGGGGTTTGATGATTCTTTGATTTCAACTTTTCTTAAATGATTCTCTTGTATATTATAGAGAAAAACGTAGAAAACAATTGTATTGTGAGGTTCAGCGATAATATTGCCGGTTTGAGTACGATAAGTATTTTGAGGTACCAAGATAACCTCACCGTTTCTAGTTGTACCTCGTACCTTCAAACTCATGTCATTGACTATATGCATCTTCACCATATCCATTTGAGAAGAATGCAACACCAAAGTCTCCTTTGACCACTCATTCTTCTCTTCATTTTCCAAAACCCATAGTTCCATCTCACCTTTGTCCCCGAGATCGGAATGGTGTAAAAGAGCTACTCTTCCACCGTATTCTATAACATCTGTATAATAATGAGACCAAACGGAACCATCTTCGGGTTCTTGGAGCATACTGATTTCTTCAGAACTAATATCGAAAATCACAAGCACAGGATAAAGCAAACGAACCCAAGCGAGGTAATACATATGCCCATTGATAGTCAGTCCTTGTGTTAAAGGAAAATGTGGTAGACATGGGCTTGAAATCTTTCTCCAACGACTTGATTCATCTCCTCCTAGTAGCAAGACCCAATGCTCTGACAGGAACGTTATGAACTTTCCTACTTCATCCGGTCTTGACACTGTGCAAATCACTTTATATTGATCATGAATCGAGTCGTGTCCTATATGGTACATGATATTTTTCTTCTTGTGATCTTCAGGTATGATCTTGGATTCCTCAATTTTAGGTAAAACGACAAGTTGCCTAGTGGTAGTGTTATATATTTGTGCACTTGGACCGTTTACAAAGCACATCAAACCGCGAAAAACATGAGAGACGGAGTAGCCTTCCATCCCGGGGATTGTCAAATCTTGGTCAATTACAAAGGAAGATATAGTACCGTCCGAGTCAAGAGAAGAAGATGACGATAATGGTAATACAATTTTTTTGTCCAAACCCAACCACATGTTTATACGCGGTGACGAAACCTTTAGGAAACGTTTGGTGAAATATTGGGAACAAATCAAAGATGACCAAAGCTTTGAGACAGATTTAAACCTCATAAGGGATTTAGCAGGAAGTTTCGTGAGAATGTCGATCACGAGATCAAAAGGAACCACCTCACGTGTCGGTTCGTGGCTTTTGCATATTTCTCTTCGTTTTCTTCTTATTTTCTTCGATCTACTCTTCAAGATGATGACGGCTACGTCAAAAGAAAAAGGCATAATTCAGTGTATCGAAAACTTGAGTAGCCTCATAAACTTGAAAATACTTTTTGGTATCTAAAACCCTAATCATATCGAAACTTTTCCAGATTTTACATTGTTAAATGTTAACAAAGTATATCATTATCCTCTAACCACTATAATTTCTATAACTATATATTTTCATACTCTTTTCCCTTCTAAACGTGAAGTGAATTAAATAAACTTTCCTAGATTTTCGATTTTTTTCAATATCGTTGATACAAGAAAAAAAAAAAAGAGGGTGAATTAAAGAAATAGGCCAAATTTTAGTGAAAATTAAAAAAATAGGCTACATCTTTTAAAATTAAAAAAGGGTTATTTGCAAAAATAACCAAAAAAAATTGAATAATTGGGAAAGTAACAATTTTAGCATATGTGGCTACAATATCCACCCTTATATTTAGGTTAAATGGTTAAGTTTTTTATTATAGATTTTTTCTTGGTTATTAGATGCAATTTACCTTAAAAAAAAGAGGAAATTACAAACTACTACTTTTTGTGTGCATATTTGCAAAAATGACACTTAGGGGTGTTCATTTGCAAAAATACCACTAATTATAGATTTTTAAACCCTATATCTTAAAATTCTAAACCCTTAAAAAATATTTTGACCCCTAAACCCCCTTAAACCCTCAAAACTAAACCCTAATAGAATATAGTTAACCCAAACATAAATAATATAAAGAAAAAATAATTTTGAAAAAATGGCATTTTTACAAAGATTTCAAAAGTGTAGCATTTTTGTAAAGTGGTATTTGAAAAATGGCATTTTTAAAAAAAATTTTAAAAAATAATC